TACAAATAAATCAAAAAATCAGCCGGGCGTGGTAACGCACGCCTGTGATTCCGGCTACTTGGAAGGCTGAGGCAGAAGGATCGCTGGAGCCCAGCGGGTCGAGGCTGTGGTGGCTGGGAGCAGCCACTGCACTCCAGTCTGGGTGACAGAGTGAGACTCCAACTCAAAAAACAACAACAACAAAAAAAAAAAAACCAGCATGACCTCCATGCCCCACTCCTCCCTATTCATCCAATCTCCCCTGAGAGACTTTTTTTGTTTTCTAGGATGAAAAAAGTCCTCAAAGGAAAATGTTTTGCTCATGTGGAAGAGGTGAAACCAAAAAATGGCTGAAGCACGCAAAGGCATCAAAACTGATGAGTTAAAAATACTGTTTTGATTGCCTGAGCCCGCGGGTTCGAGACCCACCTGGGTAACTTGGCAAGACCTTATCTCTACAATAAATCAAAAATTAGCCGGGCGTGGTAGCGCTCCCCTGTAGTTCCAGCTACTTGGAAGGTTGAGGTGGAAGGATTGCTGAAGCCCAGCAGGTCGAGGCTGCAGTGGCCAGAAGCATGCCACTGTACTCCAGTCTGGGTGACAGAGTGAGACTCCAACTCAAAAAAAAAAAAAAATGTTTTGAGGCTGAGGCGGAAGGATCACCTAAGCCTAGCAGGTTGAGGTTGCAGTGGCTGTGAGTGTGCCACTGCACGCCAGCCTGGGCAACAAGAGTGAAACTCCAACTAAAAAAAAAAAAAAAAACAATAGCATCTTAAGGTTATAGTTTTCAGCAATCTTTTCTTTCCTAGTGATACAAGATAATGGTGCATCACTTAGATTCAATGAAATTTATCTATGCATCCTATAGAAATACACCCCCCTTCGTACCACCCTACGTAAGAGACCACTCCAAACAAGCTACAGAAAGTATAAAAGCCATTTTACTTTAATACAAAATCATGTAAAGAAAGTCGTGTTAGCTAAATCAAATATTCACTAAATATCAGTGAAATTAACACTGGAAAACAGTACCATATTTTCCTGTTTTCTTTTCTTCTTCTGCTACACAATGACCGGGATCATCCTGGGAGCAGATCAGTAGAACATACCTCTGCACGCAGGAGCCCCTGGGATTGCAGTGGGGGCAGGAGGCGGCCCACCACACATTCCTTCTGCTTTCTTCCTAAGTTTGTGCTGCTTCACTTGCCCAGACCGAAGCTTCGAGGCTGTCTAGTTCTGTGGCCAGGGAGAATGTAATTCCAAAAGAATGTCATCTCCTTCCTCCTCGATAGCTGAAAGGGAAACCAATGAGCAGGCACAGCGTGGAGGTATGACAGAGAGGCGGGGTCGAAGACGTCTTGGTGGGTTGTCTTCTAGGCTCAGAGCCACTGCCTTAGTCATGGCTTCCCTGACCGGAAAGAGAACCTGGGTGGAAAAAGAAGAGTCAGAGTAAGCAGAGGGAACAGAGCAAGGGATGCTGAAAACCCTGCAAAATCTGCCAGGCGCAGTGGCTCACACCTATAATCTCAGCACTTCGGGAGGTTGAGGCAGGAGGATCACTTAAACCCAGGAATTCAAGACCACCAGCCTAGGCAACATGACAAGATTTCATCTCTACAGGTCACTGCAGCCTTGACCTGTTGGGCTCAGACGATCCTTCCGCCTCAGCCTTCCAAGTAGCTGGAAACACAGGCATGCACTACCACACTGGTCTAATTTTTTTTATTTATTGTAGAGATGAGGTCTCACCAAGTTGTCCAGGCTGGTCTCAAACCCCTGGACTCAGGCAATCCTCTCACCTCCGCCTCCCAAAGTGCTGGGATTACAGGTATGAGGTACTGTGCCCAGCCATACAAAAAGTTTTTAAAAATTAGCTGGGCATGGTGGCATGTGCTTGTAGTCCCAGCTACTCGGGAGGCTGAGGCAGAAGGATCACCTGAGCCCAGGAAGTTGCGGCTGCGATGAGCTGTGATGATGCTGCTACACCTCAGCCTTAGTGACAGTGAGACTCCGACTTAAAAACAAACAAACAACCCTATAAAAGCTGTTAGTTCTCTTGTAGGCCATTGACTCAAGACGTATTCGTGGCTTATTACAGGACAGGTGCTGTTCAAAGAACACCTTGTTCTATTATCTCATTTCACACTCATAACAATTCTGTGGTATGGACCGTTAAAATCCCTATTTATAGATGAGCAAACTGAGGTCCTACGAGGTTAAGTGAAAGGCTCAAGGTCATGCAGGAGATTGTGTCGCCTGTAGTTTGGCCTAGAGCTGTACTCTTTTTTTTTTGAGTTGGAGTCTCTCTCCATTGCCCAGGCTGGAGTGCAGTGGCACACTCACGGCCACCCTAGCATCGACTTGTTGAGCTCCAGTAATCCTTCCGCCTCATCCTTCCAAGTAGCTGGAACTACAGGCCCAGACTGGAGTGCAGTGGCTGCTCCCGGCCACCGCATCCTCGACCTGCTGGGCTCCAGCGATCCTTCCACCTCAGCCTTCCAAGTAGCTGGAACTACAGGTGCGTGCTACCACACCCGGCTCATTTTGATTTATTGTAGAGATGAGGTCTCGCCAAGTTGCCCAGGCGGGTCTTGAACCCACGGGCTCAGGCAATTCACTCACCTCAGCCTCCCAAAGGTGCAGGATTACAGGCTGAGCCACTGAGCCCGGCGGTTTCCAGTACCTTTAAAAAATATTTTTAGGCTGGGCGCAGTGGCTCATATCTGTAATTCCAGCACTTTGGGGCCAGAGGTCAGACGATCGTCTGAGCCCAGGGGTTCGAGACCAGTCCAGGCAACTTGGTGAGACCGCTACAATAAATAAAAAAATTAGCTGGGTATGGTGGCACGTGCCTGTAGTTCCAGCTACTTGGAAGGTTGAGGCAGAACGATCGCCGGAGCCCAGCAGGTCGAGGCTGCGGTGGCCGGGAGCGGCCACTGCACTCCAGTCTGGGCGACAGAGTGAGACTCCAACCCAAAAAAAAAAAGAGACAAGTTTTGGCCGGGCTTGGTGGCTCAGCCTGTAATCCCAGCACTTTTGGGAGGCTGAAGTCAGTGGATTGCCTGAGCCTGTGGGTTCGAGACCCGCCAGGGCAACTTGGCAAGATCTCATCTCTACAATAAATTAAAAAAATTAGCCAGGTGTGGTACTCCACACCTGTAGTTCCAGATACTTGAAAGGCTGAGGTGGAAGGACCATGGAAGCCCAGCAGATCGACGCTGGGGTGACCATGAGCGTGCCACTGCACTCCAGCCTGGGCGACAGAGTGAGACTCCAACTCAA